AGTTGGAGGTTGCTGTGAGCTGTAATGCCATGGCACACTACCCAGGGGGACAGCTTGAGGCTCTGTCTCAAAAAAAAAAAAAAAAAAAAAAAGAATAGTGTTGGCCACATTGCCATATAAATACGGTTGCCTAATAAAATATAGAATGCCCAGTGAAATTTGAATTTCTCATAAACACCTACTTTTTAGAATATGTACCAAATGTTGCAAGGCACATAGTTATACTAAAAGAAAGTAGTTATTATAGATCTGCAGTTCAAATGCAACCAAGCACGCTGTATGTTTGCATGTATGTAGCTAAACCTGGGAGCTGTATATGTAAACAATTGCTATGACAATTCCACAATCACTTATCTGAAACTCTTGAGACTAGATATGTTTCAGAGCTTATCGATTTTCAGATTATGGAAAAGAAACACATTGCATATAACCACGGGTCATACGTGTAGACCTCAGCAACGTCAGGGGAGCAACTTACTCCCCTGAAGCAAGTGCGTAAACATTTCTATAGGGAAACAGATGTACACCAAGTTGCACAGATAAGTTAGTGAACTCACACTAAGCGTTCCATCCCTTGTTGCTGAGTCTCACTATGGTCACCTTCAAAGTACTCCCCTTGAGAAGCCATGCACTGATGATAGCACCTAGTCCACCCTTCAAAGCAATTTTAGAAGTTTTTTTTGTGGAATGGTCATCAGAGCTGTCATCATAGGTCTGACAATTAAGTTCTTGAACTTATTCAAGAAAAAGTGCTTTGAAGGATAAACTAGATACATAGCTCCCCAAGGGGAGTACCTTGAAAGTGACCGCAGTGATAGTCAGTAATGAGGGATGTAGCACTTTTTCTAGGATGAGTTTGTGAACTTAATTGTCCAACCTCCTATTCTCATAAGTGGTATAAATAAAGTATAAAACAGCCTCAAAGGCCAAGTGTGGTGGCTCATGCCTATAATCCTAGCATTCTGGGAGGCCAAAGTGGGTGGATCACCGGACTCAGGAGTTCAAGACCAGCCTGAGCAAGAATGAGACCCCCATCTCTAAAACTAGCTGGGCATTGTGGAGGGTGCCTATAGTCCCAGATACTCAGGAGGCTGAGACAAAAGGATCACTTGAGTCCAAGAGTTTGAGGTTGCTGTGAGCTATGACATCATGGCACTCTACCCCAGGTGACTGAGTGAGACCTTGTCTCAAAAAAAAAAAAAAAAAAACCCACCAGCTTCACCTGCGTTAAGATCAGGTTTTGCCATCAAAGGAACTGAGGTCTGAGAGTTGAAATGCTTTCTGGCTTTGAGATTAAGAAGTGAGCATTATGAACCTGATTTACTGCTGCCACTATTATTATTTTCTTTTATTCTCACAACTAGTGTGATTAGTTAAAAATGTTATTCCCATTTTACAGATGGTGAAAGTGAGGCTCAGGGTGGTTATGTATTTAGCCCAGGATCATGGAGCTTGCAAATAGCCAGATCATGCTTCAAACCCACATCAGCTGTCTGGGCTTATTTACTATCATTAGCACACCCTTTTCTTGGTTCTCTGCAGTCTTTCTACAGCTCTTATTTTGCAAGAGGGATTAGGACAGTGGTTCTCAACCTTCCTAATGCTGCGACCCTTTAATACAGGTCCTCATGTTCTGGTGACCCCTAACCATAAAATTATTTTCATTGCTACTTCATAACTGTAATTTTGCTACTGTTATGAATCATAATGTAAATATCTGATATGCAGGATGTATTTTCATTGTTACAAACTCCCCCTAAAGGGATCGGGACCCACGGGTTGAGAACCACTAGATTAGGAGAAGACATGAAGAAGAGGAAGAAAGGAGAGTTACGGAGAGGATGCATCTCAGAAATGGTTGGCACCTGTTCAGAAATGGCCCAGAAGACGATCAAACACTTTGCTCTTCCAAACTTTTGAGCATATGTGCCCACACATGCATGGCCTCTGGTTTAAGGCCCTGGCTTGGCCACAATTCCCCTGCCATGTGTACTCAACAGCTGCTCTGCAGACCCCTGGGCACACTGAAGTTCTTATTATGCTAAAGAGCGCTGTATCCTTGGTAAGCCTTTCACCACAGAAACAGCAAAATCAATATATTTTTTCCAACATTAGAAAGCTATTCAGCAATGTGAAAATTAAAAACAGGATAGCCAGGCAAAACATATAGGCTGGCAGAAGGTGACATCACCAAATGTCAGTCTGTAAGTTCCACTCTTGCATTGCTATGATTCATAATAAAGAAACAAAACTCACGAAACAAGTGGCCTTCCATACAAAAAGTTGTCTAAACTCAAACTGAAAATTTATGAGCTCAGAAATGTCAATTTCGCACATCTACTACAACAAAAGCAGCAGGGGACATGAAGTCTAAAACTTGTCCTGACAGTCTCAACTGACACCCAGGAGAAAACCCCAGGTCAGCTGCTTAAGCTGGGCACAGGAAAGGGATCGGGAGTTCCCAGATCATTCCAGAAGAGGATCACCCCTCCAGGCATGATGTCAAAAAGGTGAAATGGTTGTCTAACCACCAGACTCTAGTAGGTCTAGTATTATGAAAAAAGAACAAAGGGTCAGGGCCAAAGAGCGTTGCCTAGCATGGCCACAAGGAAAGAGAGGAGTCACATGCACACCTGAAGCCCAGCTCTGCCACTAACTCAGGGCATGCCCCTGGGCAGTTACTTAGCCTCTAGAAGTCTATGTTTCCTCATATGAAAGTGGGAGTGCTGATAGCACCGCCCTCATGGGGCGCTTATGAAGGTTTTATGAGATGACGCCTGTAAGTCACTTAACACTTTACCTAGATAAAAATATATATATTGATCATTTAAGAATGAAACAAAAAAGAACTCCAATTAAACATCATTATCTAACCCATTACCCTTGGAGTTTATAAGCTCTTTCACCTAAGTCTTTCCTATCTCAATAAACACCACCATTCAGTCTACCCGTCACCTTCAATTCTCTGCTTTTGTTCACAGCCCATATGGAATCCTTCAGCAGGCCCTCTACCTTCTAAACCCCCTACACACTGGCCCTCCCCCTATCTTGAGTTCAAGACATTGAACTCAAGACCTCTCACCTGATTTACTAAGTCTCCTGCCTGAGCCACCTTCGTGCATTCTTGCTCCCTACGATGTCTCCTCCACCCAGAAAGACTCCCTCTAACAGAGCTCTCCAAAGAGAGCTGTTTGTAAATGCTCAGAAGATGGTATACCTCTTAAAATGCACCAGAAGCTTTTGAGGACACTTAAGGAAAACCCAAACTCACTGGCACCTGAGCCCACACCCGTCACCTGCACTCTGCTTCTCCCTCAGGCCCTACCCATTCATCAAGACCTCCGAGCTCTTTCTCTGGGGCCTTTGCCCCACCTGTCCCCCCAACCTGGCAACCCCTTGCCTCAATCTTCACACAGCAGTTCCCTTCTCATCATTCAGGGTCACCTTCAAGGTCACATCCTCAGACCTTTCCATCTAACCATCCTATGGCTTGTTACCACATTATTCTATTTTGAATATTTTAATTTTCTACATAGCACATACCACTGTTTGTCTTTATTTCCTTATTTACTTTTAAAGACAGGATCTCCCCATATTGCCCAGGCTGGGCTCAAGTGATCCTTATGCATCAGCCTCCTGAGGAGCTGGGACTACAAGAAGCATGCCACCAAGCCTAGCTGGATATTTTTCTCGGCATCAATTGCCTTATGTGATTATTGTCTGTCCTCCCATACCAGGCTCACTGCTATATGCCCAAAACCTAACTCAGCACCTGGCCTGCACAAATATTTGGTGAATTTGTTCATTAATCTCTTCTCTTAAGGTCAAGAGGAAAGTGAAAGTACCACATGCTTAACGTGTCCTGGACTTTCTCTTTAGAAAATGCACTAGCATCTCTACCCACTTAAAGAACGGAGGTGGGAGCCAGAATCCGGCTCCTAGATATCTGAGCACTAACACTGACTTGGGGGCGGGGATAGCTATGCGCGGGGTCTCCCCATCCCCCCTCCCACTTTCCCCCTATGTTCTGACCGAAAATCACAGAATGCTTTAACTTCTCTGTGACCAGCCAGGTGCGAATTCTCACCAGCAGGCTTGAACCCAAACCTGGGCCTTCGACATTCCCAGGAACTGATAAAGGTACCTAGGCTTGTTGCCAAGAACACTGAAAGAAACCAGCCCAACCCAAATCCGTTAAACCCTCACATAGACCCCATGTGTTGAGACCCTAGCTGCCGAGGTAGAGCACCCCTCTTCTCTAGCTGGCCCCCATGAGGGTATGCCACAGCACTCTACAGACGTTCCTCTAATACTTTCAACTGATCACTCTTCCATTTAATGCTTCTTCCTTTGGAATCCCAACTGGCCCCATCTTGCCATCCTATGGCTGCAAGCGTTTAGGGCACTCCCTCATGAGAACTCCACTGCCGCTGCGTTTGGGGTGACTCCAGCCATGGGTACAATGGAACAAAACACGGTGGCAAACCTGAGGCAACTTCAAGCACTCCTCCTCACTTTGGGGCACTCACTCCTACAGCCTGGTCAGCTCGAGAGAAGTTTGACTCGCTATGTGGAATAGAAGGATCCAGAGGGATTCGCGGTGTCAGCGGAAGCATGGGTTTACCAAGGACCCTGCTTCGATGCAGGCGGGCCAGGCCCACTGAGCAGAACATACACAAAGACTGCTTCAGATCAATAGGAATCTAGAGCCAGCCGCGCCATCAGAAAGCAGATGGTCTCCGCCTGCGGCTCTTAAGACGGGCCATTGAGCCTCCCAGGCCCCTTCCTGATTCCCTTATAATGATGCCTGGAATACCGCACAGCTGGTTTTTGCAAGGAAAAAGAAAACAGGAAACCTAAGCTCCACTATTTCACACCAAAACTTGAAAGTAAACTTAAAATTTCTTCAAAATTGCACTTTGTACTTGGTAAACCTCAAGCAAACAAAAGACTATAAATACCACCTGTTTTCTCTTCCACTCCGCAAGGTACTATAATTATAACTTGACACAGGATGGAAAACTGACTTACCAGCTTCGATGCATTCTGGCTTCAGGCAGTACTCCTGTTTAGCTTGGAGACTTAGGAGACCTTGACTCACTGAAAAAAAGAAAAATACGGACCAAAATAAATGACTAGCTTGTCGCAGACCAGCAGCAGGTAAACCACCCTCAGGCACACATGCAAGATATCAGTTCATCCTTCTGTGTTGATGCAAAAGTCAAGAACCCAGCTGGAGCCAGGCAGGTGGCTCACGCCTGTAATCTCAACTCTTTGAGAAGCCAAGGCAGGAAAATTGCTTGAGGCCAGAAGTTCAAGACCAGCCTGAGCAACAGGGAGACCCCACATCTACTAAAAACAGAAAAATTCTCCAGGCATTGTGCTGGGCACCTGTAGTCCTAGCTACTTGGGAAGCTGAGCTCAGGAGTTCAAGGTCACAGTCAGCTATGATCATGCCAATGCACTCTAGCCTGGACAACAAAGCAAGACCCTGTCTCAGTTTAGAAAAGAAAAGTTCTGGGTGTGGTGGCTCACACCTGTAATCTTAGCACTCTGGGAGGCCGAGGCAGGTGGATTGCTTGAGCTCAGGAGTTTAAGACCAGCCTGAGCAAGAGCGCCTGTAGCCTATAGTTCCAGCCAGCTACTTGGGAGGCTGAGGAAAGAAGATTGTTTGAATCCAAGACTTTGAGGTTGCTGTGGGCTATGACACCACAGTACTCTACTCAGGGCAACAAAGTGAAACTCTTCTCAAAAAGAAAAATAAAGTTGGCTTAACGTCACAGAACCAGACTCTAGTCACTGGCTAAGTAACCCAGGTACTCTCTTGATTTGCTCTGAAACTCAGTTCTCTTGTATGGAAGACCCGTGAGTGAGTGGGTGCTATATCAGTGCTCCTAAGAGTACAGTCCCCGGACTGGCAGCAGCAGCACATGGGGGCTCATTACAGATGCAAATTGTCAAACCCACTGCAGACCTTCTGACTCAGGCACTCTGGGCATGGGGGCCCCACTCCAGGTGATTCTGACCCACACTCAAGGCTGAGAGCCACGGGGTGAGATGATCTCTGAAGTCTCTTCCATCTCTGATTACCCCTTGGTTTCAACTTTATACTTTCACTCTTTATAACTATATCTGCATCCTAAAGATGGGAAAATTAAAACTTTTAAACTATGTCATTTAGAGTACATCAAAGCAGATGAAGAAAGCTAGCTAACGTGTGTGGCCTTCAGTGCTCTTGATCTTATCTAAACCATCCATACAGATATGGACCCAAAAAGGGAGCAAATAACATGCATATATAACTCAATCATCTAGCAAAGGAGCCATTGTCTTCCTGTCCTGGACCCCACAAACCCTCCTACCACCCTAGCTTCCAGACACATGCAGCTTTGTGGACCAAGCTTCCAGCTAATTCCAAAAAAAAAAAAAAAAAAATTAAAAACCCTCCCAAATTAAAATAGCTTTCCACCAATAACTTAATTTCCCCCATCTGTTGGGCTGGCATCATTATCTATTAATAAGTGGATTTCTGAAGAAGTAGAGAAGGGAGCCCAATTTGTCAACTCCAGTAGCACCTGGGCATTAGCAGATGTGAGTTTAAGATTTCAAAACTATTTTTGGTAGCCGAGGAAGTTCTGGAGAATTCATTCTTGCTGTTCTCTGTGGGCAGACACAAGGAATCATTCGGAGATGTGGCCATGGGGAGATGGATGGTTGGGCGTGATGGTGCCCAAGGCCCTCCATGGCAGCATCAGAAACTGTGACAACACCTATATTTCTTCGGGAGATGGAAAATTTGTAGATCATTTCCCAGCATGGCAATTGTTACTATCTATCAACCCAAATTCTAAGCGAAGACTACTTTTTCTTTGTTGTTTTCTCAGCTGTCATCTTCCAAACAGCCTTTTACCTGTGGTCTATTAAAGATTCAAGAAAACTGCCTTCAGAACAGCTCAGGCCTATTTTTAAGAAAAGAAGTTTCTTACCATAAAGGTGTGCTTTGATTTCTGTAAAAAGCAAAAAGAGTAAAAGTATATACGGGCAGCAGAAAGATCAGGGTGGAATATTCCAATACACTTGGGTGGTGGGACCATATGTTCACCAAATGTTCTTTAATGAGCATGTGTTATTTTTTTATCATGGAAAAATGAACTTTATTGTAAACAATAATAATATTTTTATCATTCTAGATAATACCTTCTTGATCCCAACCTTACTTGTGAAAGCTAATGAAATGGTTACAGATAGATTCCTTTCATGAAAAATAATTCTTGACCCAAAACCTCTAAGGAAGCAGAACTAAAACCGAAGATCTTTATCCAAGGATGAGTAAAAGGAAGACCCAACCCTTCAAGGAAGAGCACTGTATCCAGGAGGGTTTATTTTAAGACCCTATAAATAAATAAGGATCAAAAAACCCAGGTAATGTGAAGGTATAAGTGAATAAAATGGAGACAATACACATACTTTTAATATAAAAATCCAAAGCTTACTGTTTACTGTTCAGGAGCTTAAAAAGACTTAAATAGCAATTTGGTTTCTCATTTGCAATTTCTCTATAACCAGAGTGGAAATGCCTTCAGAATGGACAAGCCAATCCAGTCCGCTACAGGTTGCTGTGGCTTTTACATGTTTTAATGATGGAGCGAAATCAAAAGAAAGATAATAGTTCATGACACGTGAAAATTATATGAAATTCAAATTGCAGACTCCGTAAATGAGCTTTTCTTGGCACCCAGCCATGCGCATTGGCATACATATTGTCCATGGCTGCTCTCGGCTACGAGAGAATTAAGTAGCTGCAACAGGGGCCGTATGGCCTACAGAGCTGAAAATATTTGCTATCCAGCCCTTGACAGGAAAAGTTGCTGGCCACCGCATCTGAGAAACAGATTGTAAGGGAAGAAGGGGAGGGGAAGGAGAAGAAAGGACAGTTCTCTGAAACCACCACAAGGCCACTGGCACTCACTCTTACTGTAAAAGCACTAAAGTTTCTTCTTTTTTTTTAAGACAGAATCTCACTGTGTCACCCTGGGTAGAGTGCCATGATGTCATAGCTCACAGAAATCTCAATGCTTTGGGCTCATTCCTCTTGCCTCAGCCTCCCAGGTAGCTGGGACCACAGGCACCTGCCACAACACCCAGCTAATTGTTTTTATTCTTAGTAGAGATGGAGTGGAGACCTTGCTCAGGCTGGTCTCGAACGCCTGAGCTCAGGCCATCCACGCACCTCGGCCTCCTAAAGTGCTGGGATTACAGGCGTGAGCCACCTCACCAGGCCAGCACTGAAGTTTCTAGACTAGCCTCTGATATAAAGAAGAGGTAAGAAGGGATGCTAGAAATTACAGACATGTAACTGAAGACTGAATTTAGATGGGGGCAAAGCCAACTGGGAAGAACCTTAAGAGGCAATAACTCTAACTAGAAGAGCATTGCCTGGCAGGGTCCCTGGAGAATTTCAAAGATTTTGCTAGGTGCACGGTGGAGGGGAGTGATAGAGCCTAGGGGCAGAGAGCCAGTGGGTCGGAAATGGTGCAGAAATATTTAACAACAATGAGTCTCCCTGAACGTATACATTCAAATGGCTGCCGTCACAGAAGAAAAGCTTCTCAAACCTGTATTTACCAATGAATCCTCTGGGGATCTTTTGAAAATGCAGATTGTGAATCAGCCTGTATGGGGGAGGAGGAGCTGAAGGCCCCAAGTGATGCTGATACTGCTGGACCATGGACCACACTTTGAGAGGTGAAGATGTAAACAGGCCACACCCTGAGTTCGTTCTTATTCTCTACCATCTTCAGAGTTCCTCTTAGAGATTCAAGGTGAGAGCCAGGTTACTACTGGGCACCACTGAAAGAAGTTCTATTTTCTTTTCATGCAGGCCTCCTTATCCATAATAGCATTGCCTGGCTTGATGAATTTTACTTTGGTCTAAAAACGTTAGCACTGTTTCTAAAGAATCAATTCGTCCCAAAGAACAAAGATTTGCTGCCATGGACAGTCTTCCAACTAGTATGCCCCGGTCTCAGAATGTCAAGTTTCAGGCAGTGGTTCTCATTAAAGAGAGCACGTATTTTTACATAAACAGTAATCATTTGGATTTTAAGTTGGGGAGTATTTGTAAAAAATCTCACCTTGTAGTCACTTCCCACCTAATATGTCATCTTTTGGTACGCCCATAGAATTTTTCCTCCACTTTTGAACTTCAGCAGGGGACACTCATCTAAACCAAGTGCTGAGAAATCTCCCAACACTTTTCAAGAGCCACAAATCCAGTTGCAGGGGTAGGAGGTTCAGCTTTACCAGAAAGTAATAAGCCCACCTAATTTCCTAAATCTGCAGCCACAGAAAACATGGCAAGATGGTTTGCTCATTTTAGCAGAGTTTTCAACCACACAACCCTAAGTCTTTTAAAAGTTCAATCACTGGTTTTCCCCGGCCAAAATAAACATGGCTTCCTGCATCCTGTCTATGCACCTAGAATCTGTTAAGCATAGGGCTTGTTCCTAGGTGATGTTCAAGTGAATCAAGTATCATGGGTTTTATGAGAAAAACAACAAGAGTTCAGAAAGCTTAGCATTTTAGAACACTCCTCGCCCCCTTCCATGATACTTGATTCTTTTTTGTACTCTCATATACCCTCATCATATACACTCTCTGGGTACACCATTCTCACCAAGAGTTATTAAAATAATGGGATCATAATATCCTTCAAGTCTTAAGAGGAAAACCCGTTTTCCTTCATAATAATTCCTAAATCTAATAGAAAGGCAGAGTTAACATTGCATCTGCCCAGAGTCCCTGGATTAGAAAGGAATTGAAGGGTACCAGCAAAGGTTCAATTGAAAGGATTGATTTTGATTTTGTAAATTCAATTTCGTGATTTTTTTCCAGGCAAACATTAACAAAAGTCAAATGGAAAGAAATCCCACCATGCTTTTGATCCTAAGATAAAGTCTTTCCTCCCAAAATAAATGAAAGTGTCCGAGTCTGAATTTATAAACCCTCATTTTGCTAAACAGTTTTCTGCCCAGCGCAATTGAATCCTCTAGCCACTCGAAGCACTTAGACCCATTTTGCCTTCTGGACTATACATTTGGTACTTGGGGGTATTTATTTATTTAGCTTCCTAAGGAAAAGCCTTCTTTTTTCATTTGCACCTTTGATAGAAACTAAAGAGGTACCACCTCCTAACACAAGCAAATAGCCACATGCCCGCATTATGCCAAGTTTTGCTAGGATAAAGCACATGCCCAGTTCCCCTGGCCTCCAGTGTTCCACTTACCTAGAAAGAGGATCGTGCCCAGCACCAGGGTGCCACCGATGAACACAACCAGGGCAATCCGAGTGCCCCTGTTGGCTGTCTTTCCAGTCTCAACGCTGCTCCCTGTTTCTGCTTCCATCAGAAGGGCCGGAAAGAACACTGGAGAAGAAAGTCACTTTTCGTGGTTTAGTAGCTGGTCTCAAGAGTCTGTTAGGTGTTGACATCCAAGGCTCTCTTGCACTGCTAATGGACAGCTTAAAAAATTCCCGTCAGGGAATCTCCCCTTGCCACCCTTTCTCAAATAATTCTTCACAATGAAATTTGTAAAACCAAAAATATTGGTTGCCTTGGCTTTCCCCCTGACTAGACAAAACAAACAGTGGTTGCTTTATCTTGGTGCTCCCCCTCAGCAAAGTCCCTCTCAACTGAGGGTTTGGCAGGCTCTTCTCTCAAGCGTTCCGAGTATACATGTTTTACTATGTTGCTGAACAGATGTTTTAGCTATTTAAATGTATAGTCACTTGGGGAGGAAAAAAACAATTGTTTTATCAAAACTGGATTCTCGTCAAACTGCCCCAAACCATGATAAGTTAGGTGGCGAGGATTCGCCGGACCCACTGCAAGCTCTCAATTAATCATGTGTTTCTGTTGTAGTAATCATTCAGCTTGCTTGAATTGTCTTCATCAAAGATATTCTTTCAGTGTGTGAGTTCCTTTTTAAAGCCTTCTAAGAGTTCCTAGGATATCCTGGAGCATTTTATTTTAGGAACTGTGTGTATGATAGCATGTGCCAAAAATCAGAGTCATAGTCCAGTGCAGTGCAAAGTAGCAATTAAGACAACCTACAGAGGCTGATGGTTTGGACTGGAACTTTTTCTTAAGGAAGAAGAAACAGCACTTCCTCTTTGTGGTGCTAAGAATTGTACAAAAAACAGCTGAGTGTATGAATTAAGCTGATTAGCAACCACAAAAGATACGGTGACAGACTTTTCCCTTGCGTGGTTTGGTGACAAGTGGACCCGTGTATTTCGTCCTTTACTTCCACTTGAAGCAACCAAAGGTTAGTATGTTGTTGTGTTTACAGAAAGCATCCATCTCAGCAGATTCCCCAGGATGAATTCAAAGGCGATTGGTTCTCTGGGAAAGACTGATTGATGATGGGGTCTTGATTCCTTTGATTAAAATAATGATTAAATTACAAAAATGTGCTTTCTTCATGAGAAAGAGCAACTGATATTCCAGTGCTACTGCTAAAATAATACAGATTTTATTTTATTTTTGCCCGAAGCTGGGTTTGAACCCGCCACCTCTGGCATATGGGGCCGGCGCCCTACTCCTTTGAGCCATAGGTGCCACCATGATACAGATTTTATTATCTAATGATATAGACATTAACTGGCAACACAGTTACTACCTACCTGGTTTCACTTTGCTGGAGGTCATAAAGCAGTGGGTGTGGGGAATTCGACTACATCTAGAAACCAGTAGAACAATTTTCTCAATACAAAATTTGTATGCACGGCTTTGGGGGTTGCATCAGATCCGAGCAGGTGCTGAGGAGTTCAGGATAACATGGCCACATGCTTGTGGTCGTATCTGGCTAATCGTGGTCAGACTTTAAGTCCTTAGCATGAAATTCTCCCAGGTTTGGGGGCTTATTCCATACTAACCTTACTTTCTGCTCATTTCATGTTGCCCGGAGATCAAAAGCACATAAGTCTTTGTCCAAGTTATGACATCATGGTATGTTATAGCTATCCTGTGCTCCTTGGCTGTTGATGTTATTTTGTTGTTTTTCTTTTTTCTGTAACACATCTTTTTTTTTCCAGACAGAGTCTCACTTGGTCACCCTCAGTAGGGTGCCATGGCCTCATAGCTCATGGCAACCTCAAACTCTTGGGCTCCAGCAATCCTCCTGCCTCAGCCTCCTGAGTAGCTGGGACTACAGGTGCCTACCACAATGCCTGGCTATATTTTAGAGATGGGGTCTCCCATTTGGTCTGGTCTGGCTAGTCTGGAACTCCTGAGCTCAAGCAATCCACCAGCCTTGGCCTCCCAGAGTGCTGGGATTACAGCATGAGATACCTTGCCTGTCTATTCCATAACACATCTTAGCAGACCACTGACCCCTAGCTTGGGACTCTTCAAAGAGTCTTGGACTTGACTCCATAATATATACTAAATACTATATTCCATGTAGTCAGGAACCATTTCTGTCACATTCAATGCTGCAGCCCCAGAATTGACAGTTTCTGTCCCATCACAGTGAAGGAAGAAACAGGAGCAATCAAAATCATCCAAGTTAGCTCTAGCCACGTACTCTTAAAAAGCAGTTTCAGAACTCCAGACAGTAGTGTCTTGGGGGGTCTTTCAGTCTCCTAACTCCTTCTAAATGCTCAACTGATAACTACACTTCATATAAGCATAGCACATTTGTGTTAACCTCATGGCAAACCCATATACTTGATAACAAATGTATTTTTAACTCTGTTTTGCAAATGAGGGCACCGAACCCAAGGAATGGCCTCGGGTGACATGGGAAAATCAGAAATAGAAAGATGTGGAGGTAGGATCATTGCTAAAGACCGTGTGACTACAAGTTTGACAAAGCTTCTTGGGAACAGGGGAGAGGACAGCCACCGAAGCACGACACCAGGGCCCACTTCTTTCCTCTTTCCTTCCTCCTCCAAATCTCCTCGTACGTTTCAGGGTCCTGACTGCCATGTGATGATGGCTGCGGGAGCCAGCTGGAGTAAGTAGCCTTTGCCTACCTTGGAGTAGCAACTCCCCCAGAAGTGTAGGCAATCTGTGAATTCCCCTGACGTTATACCTATCCATCACCTACTGATGGGATTCATTCCTGAACATTCAGCTGCTGAGTGAAAACCCATGAAATAAAACAACTTTTCCATTAATTGTAATAGCAACACCACAATACATTCTAACCCAAATTAATTTACACATACACAGAAAAATGCATTAATTGAACAATGTAAACAAGTCTCTAAAATTCATAAACAATTTCAAGTAGTTGAAAATAAATATAGTTTGTCCATATAATGTAACGAAGATTTCTTTCACTCACCAAAGGAATAAAGGAAGACGTAAGAGTGGGTGAGATTGGGTGGCACCTGTGGTTCAAGCGGCTAAGGCGCCAGCCACATACACCAGAGCTGGCGGGTTCGAATCCAACCCAGGCCTGCCAAACAATACCAACTACAACCAAAAAA